TACCACTGTGGATAATATACTTTGCCATTTCTTGAACATTTCTGAGTGAGTTGTCTCTGAATTCATTAATTTTATCGCACTACAGTACATAATGACGCAAGGTGTGACAAAGTTTACATTTCGTTTGGTCTACATCTGGTGGTGGTGATTTAACCTGCCATAGATACTTGTAACCCAGCCGGAGCCGGGCTGTAGTGTCGTCCAAGAGTCGGCTTATTTTGTTGGATGCACCATAGACATGTGACTCCTCCTGCATGATAGAATGATGATAGATAGACTAACTGGTGCCAGTCTCCCTGAGTCTTAAGTCAATAAAGTTAAGTTGAAGTTCTTTTCGTAGTTTTGTTCTCAAACTGCTAACTGACAACCCAAGATTGTAATCTACTCCCTCTTTGAAAGGATATAACTTAGCTAATCCATCAGTTCTATCATGCATCTAATCACCAATGCAGGATGAAATCCACATCATGTGCACTCTGACTTCACTCTCCACAATCCTAACATACTTGTATCTGGCTTCTGACACAAGCATGCCACAATTTATACTTAAAGAGCTGAGAGCATTTATGGATGACAGAATCAGTTACAATTAAAGTGTCAACCTTAGATACATGGACGCATTTGAGTGCAAGGAGGATGGCAAACAGTTCTGTTTGAAGGGTAGAGGCCCACTTATTGATGCGTGCTCCAATTTCTTTATGAGAGCTATCACTCTGTATGACAACAGCAGCACTACCAGCTGCACCAGTGGACTGGTGAACAGAACCATCAACACAAATATTTTTCTAAGAGTTCTGTGTGACTAAGCTATCAGTACAGCTTAAATTAAGGCATCATGTCTGGTTTCAAGGCGAAGCTTTGGTTGTGATTTAAGAAGAATTTGGGGAAGAAATGGAGGAATGGTAGTTTGGTATGGGGTAATATCCCATGGAGCGGTGAAGTGCCACTGTTGCCTTACTTGACATAGATTATGTAGCAGGTTCATGCGGAGGTAGGTTCCAGTGTTTCCAATCCATCTGGAAGAGTGTTCACCAGTACTCGTCTAATTGTACTCAGCTAATTGTGGTTGCAGTGGTCGAGACTCACCTCCTGGCCCAGCCTCTTCACTGGTCCCTTGAAATGAAGAAAATTACGCAGAATACAGAACGTGAATGGGGTCACAGGCGGCGTGAAATGATTTACCTAAAAATGCATTTTGAAATACCGAGAGACAAACCGAAATTTAAAAAGGAATATTATTATTGAACCTCCACTCAAAGGCTGTTCATATTAAACAGTTTTTCAGTCACTAATTTTGTAGATTGTGATTCTGGTTTCAGTTATTAAAAAATAACGTCGGTCTGCAGTTTTGTGACTCTGATCGCGGGTTCTAACCCCACCCGTGGTATGGCTAGTTAAACTATTTAAATAGTAATAAAGAATTAATAATTATAGTACTACTACTACTACTACTACTACTAATACTACTAATACTACTACTACTACTAATAATAATAATAATAATAATAATAATAATAATAATAATAATGATAATAATTTTCCAATTTTAATATCCAAAATAGTGCTTTATTTTTTTAGTGATGAAGGGAAGTAAATGGTACAGAGGTATCGACAAGATGTGGATTAAAAAAAAGGTGACATTTATGTGCAGTTTGGGGCATTTATTAAACCAAATGTATTGCCACGACCGGCGATACATTTCCTTGGCTGAACGCTACTGCATTTTCCTACATCTTAGCGATAACTTCGCGATAACTTGAGAATGCTCATGACTAGTTTTAGTCTCTCAACAATGGCACATCGCTTTTACTGAAAGATTCCAATAGTTTCTCGGTTTTTAACTTTGTTGATTTGCAAATTGTGGAAACAAACAGGAAATATTAATTTCTAATTGATAACTTGAGAATGTGTCTAAGCAACGGCTTCAAATTTTTAGACAGACAAATTTTAACTAAAGGAAATAAATCACTCTGTCTGACATTTTTGGGTTATCCTAGATCTTCTACACATATGTTGCTATGTATGATAATTTATGTAACTGTATATATGTGCACCTGTACCTGAATAAAATTACTAATCAGTTAATATTAATAAAAATAATTGTTGCAACTCCTACTTTCCTCTTGCGGAATCCTAAGGAATAAGGGAATCAACCCTGTACTCACAGTACCTATCGGTCAGATGCCGTCAAAGTACAGTAATTGCGATCACTGCTCAAGTCAGTGGCTGTGCCATACATGGGGATCTTCTATGCCTATCCGATAATACTTCCATGATCTAAATTCTACTAATACTCTTAAACCTCGTAAGGAGAGGTTTAAGAATTTAGATCAAAGAAATATTATCGGATAGGCAAAGAAGATCCCCATGTATGGCATATTAACCAGCCTGAGAAAAATAGTAGACAATATTTAGGAAGAGATACTTCTGAGTACATGGGTAGAACATTCGAGTACCTCAGAGCAGGACATTTAAACGGACAAAGAGCACATTGTATTCCTTTCTTTCATTATTTAAAAAGGTCACACAGAATAATAACAGTCCATGTCTACAGTATCTAACGAGAAACTTATTTTCTACAACCACATGACCTGTTATAAACGATTAGAAAAAGCTTATGGCTGGTTTTTATATCTTATAATTTCATACTTGACATCTCAGAACCCTCCTACCCAATATGGGGAGTAGGGGGATGATGGTAGGGTGGGGTTGGCACCGATCACTAGCCCAGTCTAAAGGTAACCGTGGACGGTGACACCTACGCTACTCTGAGACCTCTCTCCCTGCTTTGGTTGCTCCGTTGCAACATTGCACAGCTCCTGATGACGCACTGAGAAGTGTGAAAGTACTTGAGCTAAAGATTTCCACCACTTGTGGCTTGTCCTGCGTATATATATACATATATATATATATATATATATATATATATATATATATATATATATATATATATATATATATATATATATATATATATATATAATATATATATATATATGTCGTGCCGAATATGTAAAACTGGTCAATTAGCAGAAACTCATTTAAAATTAAGTCCTTTCCAAGATTTTCTTTTATACGTTTAAAGATATATTTTTTCATTAATGTTAATGTAAAAATTTTTAATTTTGCTCCAAAAGAATCTTAGAAAACTTACCTAACCTTATTATAACAAGAACAATTTATTTTAGCCTAACCCAACTAAATATATATTAGATTTGTTTACAATAATTTAATACTAAACAAACAGAGTGAAATATATTTTTTTCGTTAGGATCAGAATGACTTTGGCGAAATTATTGCATACACAAATTTTCACTTGTCCTATATGGCAAGATGAACGTTGCTATTTAAGCCAAGATCGCAAGTTCTGCCTATTCAGCACGACATATATATATATATATATATATATATATATATATATATATATATATATATATATATATATATATATATATATTATATATATATATATATATATATATATATATTTTATATATATATATATATATATATATATATATATTATATAATATATATATATATATCTGGAGAGATCTGGAGAGAGTTCCGGGGGTCAACGCCCCCGCGGCCCGGTCTGTGACCAGGCCTCCTTAGGTCAGTGTCCCAGGATGCGACCCACACCAGTCGACTAACACCCAGGTACCCATTTTACTGATGGGGAACATAGACAACAGGTGGAAAGAAACACGTCCAATGTTTCTACTCTGGCTGGGAATCGAACCCAGGCCCTCACCGTGTGAAGCGAGAGCGTTAACCACCATATGGTAAATGAATTTTAACTATAGTGTAATTTATCTTATGAATTATTTATGATTACTTGTCGGAATTCCAAAATACAACTATTTTTAAATGTTTATGATAAATAAATTTTCAAAGGATAACAAATAGGAAAATCCTTTGAAACATTTTCCCTTTCAAATAAGTTTTACGTCATATTTATTCCGGGAATAAGTCAAGTGTATTTAGCGTTGCTCTGACATTTAGTTAATTAATACTTCAGTAGAGGGGAATACCCCGAGAGAATACCGTAAAAATTGGTAAATACTCACATATAATGCACCAATAATATTCTAAGCTTTGTTTAATAAGTTACACAAGAAATGATAGTTTGAAATCAATTTGAATTGTTATTCTAAGGTTAATCAACTGTCAGCGTGGGCTGCATTGTGTGTCTCACCATGTAAGGCGGAGCAAAATACGTATTTGACTTAGTAAAATCAAGTAATATCAGTAAAATTAAAAGTATTAAAAGTATTTACCGCGTTTCGCGGCTTATTAGACGCATGTTTTTTTC